CAAAACCCCAAAACCCCAAAACCCCAAAACCCCAAAACCCCAAAACCCCAAGAATCAAAATTAATATTGATTTGTGGATCTGTTGAAATTAAGAATTTAGTTCACGCAACCGTACAGTGTATGAATCAATGTTCTTCTCCAAAAGAGTCAGCTGATTCTCTAAGAATTCCTTACGACGTTTAATAGAAGGGCTTTTATCAATAACTATGGGCAAGCGGGAGTATTCATTCTCCAATCTCTTCTTCTCAAGAGTCATTGATTTTAACTGGCTATGGACGAATTCATAACCTAAAATTATGGACAAAAGCTTACTTCCATCGTCAATTCCAGTGAAGGATTCTGAGATCGGAGAAGTTTCTCTGTAATGTTCATTAGAAGCCTTCATCGGGGTCAATGGCTTCAGTGGTTGAGGAGGAGCAGAAATATCTCTTGCAGCAAACGAACTATTACTTAGATTACTCCTGAAACTCTGATTTTGCTTCCTAAAAGATGAAATTGGAGATGCATATGGGGATAACATAGACTCAATAGAGTTCTTATTATGAGCTTTTCTATAAAAGCTTGAACATTGAGGAGTCCTATCCATTCTCATAGAAGAATTGTGCTCTTTTTCATTTTGGTCTGGACCATAATATTCAGGTTTAGATTTATGAGCTTCAAGCAACGAATTTGACCTATTCAAATTCTGTTGGGTGGTCTTTAATTCCATGCATTTCATATCAAGAGCTTTCTTCAACAAGATATTCTCTTTTTCCTTATTATTGATGGTCTGTTTTAGCATATTGCTTTCGCTCTGTAAATCTTCAACCTCTCGATTCGAAAGATTGATGGAGTTTTGCATTCTCATAATCTGTCTGTTCATAGCTTCAATTTCACTGTCATATTTCCTGAGCTTCAAAGAGTCTTGAGAGATCTTTCCCTTGACCATTTGGAGAGTATTTTCCAATTCTTGTCTTTGTTCCGTTAGACTACTATTCTCGCTTCTTAATGCCTTTTCAAGGCTCGTAAGGCTCTGAATATCACTCTTAAGGTTGGCATTTTCAGTATTGATAATATAGAACTGCTCCTTATTCTCACGAATGATGGCTTCTAATTTGACAATTTTTGTGTTTTGTTCATCTATCTTTTGCCGCAATTCTACCTCATTCTTGTTAATATGAAGGCTCTGGTTCAGATTGGCAGTTATTTCTGCCTCCAAATCGGATATAGTCTTCTTAGAAGTCTCTATTACTTGATTCTTAACCTCAAGATCTCGCTGTGCTTCCTGTAAATAAGAATTAAGAGCTATTTCGTACCTTTAACTGAGAATCTAGTGATGAGATCCTGTGCTCGGTAGTGTTCTCGATGTTGGTAAGCTGTTGTGTTAAGGACAAGATTTGCTTCTCACTCTCAGTGCTCTATAGATATAATACTCAAATTACCCTGAGGGAATCCTTCAGCTTTTCACTAAGGATCTTTTCATATTCATGGTTCATCTTAGAAAGCATTTCTTCATATTGAGCCATTTGTTGTTGCAAGGATTTATTTTGGTCATGAAGGCGGTTATTTTCATTAGTCTTTTCAGCAAGCTCAATTTGAAGAGTAATGGCTTTCTCTCTATCCTCTTCTTCCTGTGGGCTACAAGTAACTTCAGGGGCAGGTCTAATCCTACCCTCTGGCTCTCTGGAGAAGGACTCGTGAGGGCTAATTTCAGTACTCCCAATATGTATGAAATTTGAATCTTTTGTAGTTATATTTCCAAACTTTTCTTCCTCGATCGAGTCCATTTTCAAAGACTTGTTAGAGTCCTTGATGATAGTGTTGCTTTTATCAGTCAGGTTTATCTTAAAGTCAGGAGAGTTATGGACTCAGTCCATATCAGAATGAAGTGTCTGAACTCTACTTTCTTCTCCTCCCTTAAAGCTTGGGAATGGAACTATTTCCGTACTTTCTTCATTTTCAAATTTCTTTTCTACTTTCATCGATTTTTGAGGCTTTGGAGATTTTTGTAGTTTCTGTTGAGTGCTCTTCCGAGGAGACTTTAACGAAGAATTGTACAATTCAGATGTTCTTGACTTCGTCTTCCTCTGAGTCATTGATCCTTTATATTCAAAGCTTTTCCGTGTATTGAGAAGGTCTTTGGTAGAGCCATTCTTTAGCTTTTTAGGAGCGGCCGTTTTATTTACAGTTAGATCAGCCTTTTTCTCTCGAGTGATGCCAGTTCGTGTTGAAGATGAGCAATCTTTCTGTTCAGGTTTCTTTCTTTTGGTAGTTGAAAGAGATAGCATTTTACCAGATTTATTGCTTTTGCGACTCAAGCTGGAGTCCTTGGCAAAGTCAAACTTATTTAGTCACTGGTTCTATGAAGCTCTGCTTTGATTGATGATTTGTGTTAAGCTTTTTGCGCCTAGATAGATAAAATTCTTCTATACCTCTGAACTCGCTCATCTTTCTTTTTACTTCTCGTCGAAAAAGTATCAGAAGTCAATCTCTGCAACAAAGAATCCTTAGAAGGATTATTCGTCAAATACGTTTTCTTCCTCCTCTCACCTTTTACCTTCTCTCCTAAAATCTCTACTCTCACACCCTTAGTCCAAAATCCATTTCCAGCCTCAATAAAACCCTCTAAACCCCTCTATCTCCCCTCCTTGATCTAATTTCCTCAATTCTTACCTAAACCATTCATTCTTCCTAAAAATCTCTTAATCCAATAAACTTCTGTTAATTTGGGGTTTTGGGGTTTTGGGGTTTTGGGGTTTTGGGGTTTTGGGG